CCGCCAGGAGATCCAGGAGCTCAAGGCAAGGTACCAGCAGCTGGATACATGGAGGCGGGTATAGAGGATAACCAATAACCTTGACCTCACAGGGTGTTGTTATGTACTTTTTCCAAACAGAGGATTGTATGGAGTGTTTTCATCTTTTTTTTTGTTTTTGGTGCAGTGCTGGGGATAAAACCCAGGGTCTTGTACATTCCAGGCATATGCTATATCTACCATTAAGCTACACCACATCCCCTTGAAGATCTATTTTAATGGAGGAATTCCAAAGAATGGTTTATTGTTTAAATCATTATTTATTGGCCTTTGGAGTTAATATTAAATTGAGGCAGGTATTTTTCTTTCTGTTTATGCCTGATTTACCTTCTCTAAACACATTTGTGGTTGGAAGCCATTCTGCAGTAAAAGTCTTGACTTTAGAAAATGCAGAAAGTGCCGACATGGTAGCACATGCCTGTAATCCCAGCAGCTGGGGAGGCTGAGGCAGGAGGATCATGAGTTCAAAGCCAGTCTCAACAACTTAGCAAGACCCTCCTCTAAATAAAACATAAAAAAGGGCTGGGGAGGGATGTGGCTCAGTGGTTATGCACCCCTGGGTTCAATCCTCAGTGTGTGTGTGGGGGCAGGGGAATGCAGAAAGTAGGTAATTTAGAATTACTTGTGGTAAGCATTATTCCCAAGTCTTCTCTGCCTTTAACAATGTAAAATATTTTTAGACAAGTTTCTTCATACCACAAATACTTATTGAACCCCTGTTATGGGCCACATAGACAAGAAGGCCTGCCTTTACAGAGCTCACATCATAGAGGAAGAGACAAACAGTAAGCATCTTAATAGGCAACCTATTATAGTGTGTTGGATTGTGGTAAATTCTAAGAGAAAGTTAACAAGGGCAGGGAACAGGAGTGTATATTTCAAAGTATTTATTTATTTATTATTTGAGTACTGGGGATAGAACCCAGGACCTTGTGCATGCTAGCTCTACCACTGAGCTACATCTCCAGCCCCACCACAGCTTTTTATCAAATGTAGTTAGTTTTGCAAAGGTAGGTAAATGACAATTTTAGTTTAGGTAGGCCAGAAAGGCCTTATTGAAAGGGTCACATCTGAGTGTTTACCTAAAAGGGAATTTAGTAGTAGTGAAAATTCAAAGCGGTAAAACTATCCCTCTGGGTTACTAGCACTTGCTAAGCCTCCAAGTCCAGGATAGTTGTCCTCATTTGACTCCCTTTAAGTGATAAGAAGAGCAAGCAAGGCTTATAGTCCTTCATAGGGAACTTTACTGATCCATTCCAGTTGCCTGCTCTCTCAGAGGGGTGCTTGGTCCTATCCTCATTCTTTGCCACTCATTTCTGTTATCCCTTGCCCATAGTCCAAAGATTTTCCAGAAGACCAAGTGTAGCATCTGTAACAGTGCCTTGGAGTTGCCCTCAGTCCACTTCCTGTGTGGCCATTCCTTCCATCAGCACTGCTTTGAGAGTTACTCTGAAAGTGATGCTGACTGCCCCACCTGCCTCCCTGAAAACCGGAAGGTCATGGATATGATCCGCGCCCAGGAACAGAAACGAGATCTCCACGATCAGTTCCAGCACCAGGTGGGGATGAGTGGCCATGTGGGACAGGGAACTTCCACCAGCACAGAGCCCCCAGAGTCTCCTGGAGGGCTCATTTTTGTTTTTCTCTTCAGGAAACAAGCACTTTAGTTCTGATTCTTACTTCTCTTTCCCTATAGCTCAAGTGCTCCAACGACAGCTTCTCTGTGATTGCTGACTACTTTGGCCGAGGCGTTTTCAATAAATTGACTCTGCTGACTGACCCTCCCGCAGCCAGACTGACCCCCAGCCTGGAAGCGGGGCTGCAGCGGGATCTGCTGATGCACTCCAAGAGGGGAACTTAAGTAGCTCTTGGGAAAGCCTGTGGCATGGTGGATATGGGCCATGGTTGCACAGAAGGGAGCAGAAATGCCCACGGCTCCACTCTGATTTGATGCCATTGCCCTCATGATCTGAGGGGACTTTCTTTTCATGCCCCTTTTGCCAGCCTGCTGTCCTTCCTGTTGACTAGCAGAATAGATTAATCCAGACTAATGGGGGAGGGCACCTCAGCAACCTCTGAGTATGGACAATAGCTGCTTTATTCTCTGTTCAAGAGCACCAGGCTGTGCTTGGGTCCCTGCTCTGAGTCTATAAATAAAAGGATATAATGATTTGAGAGTTGAAACATCTTTTTTTGGGAACTTTCTGGATTTTTAACTGTGTATTACGTACTTTCCTCTGTTTTGGAGTCCAGTTCCCTTCCTACAGACTTGGAGATTATGTTGATTCACCCTTATCTCAGCAGTTAATGGGGCCTGGGGCATTGAGCACAGTTCAACTTACTGTAGAAGCTCTTCAAAAGGCAATAATGTGCTGGCAGGGAGGCATAAAAAACAACCCAGGAACTCAGGAGGTTGGGGCAGGATTGCAAGCTCAAGGCCCTAAGCAACTTATCCAGAACCTGTCTCAAAATAAAAAGGGCTGGAGATGTAGTTCAGTGGCAAAATGCCCCTGAACTACATCTAGTACCAAAAGGAAAAAAAAGGCCTAATGACCAAGTTTCAACTAAGGCACCCAAAAGAGCTCTTTTTTGGGGGTGGGGGTGGGGTATTGGGGATTGAAGCCAAGGGCACTCAACCACTGAGCCACATCCTCGGCCCATTTAAAAAAATTTTTTTTTAGTTGTAGGTGGACCCAATACCTTTATTTCTTATTTATTAATATGTGGTGCTTAGGATCGAATTCAGTGCCTCACATGCATTAGATGTGTGCTCTACCGCTGAGCCACAACCCCAGACCCTCTTCAGCCCATTTTTAAAATTGTGAGACAGGGTCTAAGTTGCTTAGGGCCTAGCTAAGTTGCTGAGGCTGGCCTTGGACCTGTGATTCTTCTGCCTCAGCCTCCCAAGTTGCTGGGGTTACAAGTGTGCTAGCCTAAACAGCTTGATCTTTAGTCTTGCTGGTCTTCTTAGCTCATGTTTGGGAAAAATACTCAAGCAGGAAGCAGATTCAGAGAGAGCCTTGAGTCCAACCTGCCTTCATTATATGTAGGCTGGTGTTTTGCTATACTGGTACTAGATGATAAACTGGCTAGATGATAAATAGCTTTTTTTTTTTTAATGGTACCAGGAATTTAACCCTATTGAAACATTTTCCCTTTTTGAAGTGGTCAGCTGAAGTTTGTCAGTGGGTATTCGTTTATAATTTGGGGTACACTTCCTGTCAGACAATTGTTCCTGTGGGGTGTTTAATTGAAGATCTAGTAACATGGCACTGTGGTTTAGTAACACTGTGATTTAGGTAGTCTTTAAAAGAGGCAGTACTGCAGCCACAGTGATAGATTTTTGGATCAGTTGAGCTGAGACTGAATCCTAGCTGTGTTGTTTGACTTAGAGCAACTCTTTAAAATTTTATGTATTTACTTTTTTGAGATGGGGTCCTGCTATGTTGCCCAAGATGGTTTCAAACTCCCAGGTTCAAGTAATCCTCCAAATTAATTGAGGTTCAAATCAGCCTCCGAAATAGCTGGGACTACTTTCAGAATCTCAGTTTCTTCATCTGTACATTACCTTGAACAGTTTTTTGACCTAAAGAGCAAATAGCTGTCAGGTGGTTTGTACATGGGTACTTAATCTATTAGTAGTGTTGGTGGGAAAAGCATTTTTTTCTAGTAAGCTGTTTTCCCACCAACATTACTTTTTTTTTTTTTAAATAACATCTGGTTTTGTATTATCTTGCAGTCTTTCAAATGTTTATTTTTTAGTTGTAGTTGGACACAATATCTTTATTTTATTTATTTATAAGTGGTGCAGAGGGCCTCACGTGCTAGGCCAGCACTCTATCACTGAGCCACAACCCCAGCCCCTCCCACCAACATTACTAATGTGGTTGTTGACACTCCCTTGTCGTAATTAGGTCTTTAGGCATGACCTTTAATCTCTCTCAACCTGTTTGCTGATTTTAAAGAACAGAAATGATGACTACTTCAGGGTTATAGCAAAGCTAAGTTTAACCAGAGGAAAGGAAGTATCACCTAAACTGTACGAATTGCTTGTGCCACTGCTGGGGAGAGGAAACTATAAATTCTGAATGAGAAGCCTTTGGGAACAGCCCTTTTATCTGTCTATGATAAATGCAGCCCAGCGGGCATGGTAACTTGCTTAAGTACCCGGTATTTAGTCATACTGGACATTTTAGGGTTAACAGATCCTCCCTTTCCTCCTGGGCATGGTTAACTCCTGTTTAATTGGCTATCCTTCCGGGGGCGAAAGGTAGTTTATAGGTAAAACTGGGAAGCCTCTCTTAGCCTCTGACCATCAATACTCCTGATTCAGAAAGACGTGGCAGGCCTGGTTCTCAAAATGGAAAGCCCCCGGGGCGAAAGGGAACTCACGCTCCGGGCGAGCCCGCAGAACAGTGGCGGCGAAGGCGGCTCTGTTGTAATCATTCTAATTCCCCTCCAGAGGAAGGTACCTCCCCTTCGAGGGAAGGCGCCGGACGTGACGCTGAACCTTCAGCAGTCCCGTAGTCAGACCGTGGGACTAGCTCAGGCCCACGTGTCCCCAGTTCCCGCCAGCTCAAGATCCCGGCCTCCACGGACCTCAGGGCACTTTAGGGGCACCACCCGCCCAACTTCCTGAGCGGAGTCATGTCTGGCAACGGTAACGCGGGTAACGCGGCTGCAACGGCGGGGAGTCCTGAGCGGGTGACCGGCAAGACTTGAGGCTTCCGGTAGAACCATGCAACGATTGGCCCGAGGTTGCCATCCTCATTTGTCTATTGGTTGGAATGGCTTTCCGTCATCTTTTTCCTCTATGGTTTTTTAAAGGGCCAGTAGCTAGGTTAGCTTTTGGAAGAAAAGGGAAAATCAGTAAGGAGTGGGGGAGGGGTTAGGAGTGGAAGTACTGTCAGCCGTGGAACCTTCATCCTTGAAGACTTATCCGTGCTCCTTCCGTCTAGGCCTTGTATATTTGGCTCTAGGGTTAGTAAACTAGCACGGGTGAAGTTCATCTACATAAGCAGCGTTCTTTCATAAGATACAGGCCAGTGGGGCCACCTTGGAAAACATTCGCACCTGATTCAAAGGAGAGCACATTCCCAATTCTCTGAACTGCGCACAAACGCCTTGGAAGTAGAGCCTTGTCCCTTTCTGCTTTATAGCAGTCACCCAGCCTCATGAGACTGGGGATTTGTCTTTCCAACCTGGATCTTCCCATTCTTAGCTTGACTGCCGACCCATGCGCTGGTGCACAGGGCAGACTACAGAGCCATGGAGGCTACTGCATGCCTGAGATAAGACAGAAGGGGCGGCTGCTTATCTCCTTCTTTCCAGCCTGCGGGTGAGCAATGGGTTTCTTTGCTAGTGCAGACATGACAGAACACTGAGCTAGAAGGAAAAAGTTGATCTTTCCATTATTAGCTGTGTGACCCTAAGCGAATCATTTCACCTCTCAGTGCCAGCCTTTGCTTTTGTAACATCCTTCGACAATTGCCTGCCCTGTCTACCTAGTAGAATTGTTGTGAAGGCAACAATATGCAAAAGCAATAGAGCTAGCTGTTCATCCCATGCTGGTCTCAAACTTCTCCTCCAGCAATCCTCCCACTTTGCCTCCCAAGTGTTGGTACTATCAGTGGGAATCGCTGAAACCTGCTTGGTGTGGTTTGGTACTGGAGATTGAACTCGGGGGTTCTTCACTGCTAAGCAAGATCCCCAGTCCTTTTTTATTATTTGTTTTAAGATAGGGTATCGCTAAGTTGCTGAGGGTCTTGCTAAGGTGCTGAGGCTGGCCTCAAACTTGCAATGCTCCTGCCTCAGCCTCCTGAGTCTCTGGGATGACAGACATACTCCAGTGTGCCCAGCTGCAAATATGTATTTTTTTAATGGAACAATTTGACTTGAATATGTTTTGCAGATCCAGTAACTTGAGGGATTGCTTGAGTTTTGCAGTTCTGGGACCTTAGATTCCTTTTTCTGGGCTTCCTATGGTAGAATTTTAGAGTCCTGTTTCAAGCCCAGCCAAATTTGCAAGGGGCCTTACAGAGCTGATTTATTGAAGGAGTGATCATAGTGGAATAGACTTGAGTCCAAGAACACCAAGCTCTTACCTCCTCCAGCAATAAAGGTACCAGATGTCTGACTGCAAAAGAACTTCATAGGATGAAGATCCTAGAACAGGGGAAATTGATGTTTCTACAGTGGCTCCTGTTTGATGTAGAAAGAAATAGAACCTCTGACTCACACTAAAGAACCCAATTTTATCTGCTTGGCACTGAATACCTTCATCCAAGGTGCCTGACAGGAAGAAGTGTGTCCCATTGAGGGTTTTTTTTTTTTTTTGGCGGGGGCAGGGATGTGCCAGGGATTGAATTCAGGGGCTCTTGACCACTAAGCCACATCCCCAGCCCTATTTTGCATTTTATTTATTTAGAGATAGGGTCTTACTGAGTTGCTTAGTGTCTCACATTTGCTGAGGCTGGCTTTGAACTCGTGATCCTGCTGCCTCAGCCTCCTGAGCTGCTAACAGGCATGCACCACCATACCCAGCCTCCCATTGAGTTTTTGGCTTGAGATCTGACACCCCAACATTTACTTGATGAGACCAGAGGGAGCATTCTTGATGAATGAATGTTAGGCAGTTCAGCCTCATAGTCTTATAGATATTGAGGGAGAAGTTACATCATCATTTCATAGATGAACAAACAGGCCCTGGTGGTATGGTGCAATGTTACCCAACAAGAGGCCTAGCAGACTGTACATTAGATCATTTGACCCAAGTCCAGTAGGTGCATTCCAACCAGATTAAGGGACCCTTAGTGTGGCAGCTTCTAGGTAGTTCTCAGCATCTGGTGGCACTGAAGCTTTCTGGAGTGCCTGCACTGTGCTGGATCGTAAACCTGTACTCCAGTGATGTGTGACTTCAGCTGCCCTGCCCAACCAATTGGAGGCTCCACCCTCCCTTTGGCCAGGCTGATGGGCCTTATCTCTTTACCCACATGTTTGTGTACAGCACTCCCACTGGCCAGGGTGGGCTTTGAGTCTCAGTGTCCTGGTTACTGCCACAACAGTAGTAGCAGATCCTACCATTGCTTCCCTCTGGATCCTGAAGAGGGAAGAAGGTACTGAGGAAGGTCAAGGGACTAGTTTTGAAGTATTTCTCCACTCTGAGGCTCAGCCAGCCACACACAGGCCAGAGACTGAGGTTTCTTTCTTCTGAGTTAGTGAGTCTGGTTCTTGGACAAGGAACACAAGGATCAGAGGGGACTGTAACCCAGAGATTTTTTTTTCAACAGGAAGAAAACGGCTCAAAGATGAAAGTAATTCGAGTTGGTACCCGTAAGAGCCAGGTAAGTGTGGACATTGAGTGGAGGAGGTTTGTCAGAAAAATTCTGGTGCTCACAGGATGACAAATTGAGGGGGCCCAGAGGGTCAGCTCCCAGCATAGAGGAAATGAGGTGGCTGGGGGTTAAATCCTGTGGGGAATGGCAGATTGATTTCTGTAGAAAATTACATCCTGAGCTAGGGTGCAGAGGACTCCCAGGCCAGGCTCTTCTCTTTCCCAGGTGAGAATTCCATTCCCTTTAGGATCTCCCTGACCTTATGAGGATCTGAGCTTGGAGCAGTGGCCAGGGAAGGGCAGGACTAATACAAATCTCTGTCCTCAGCTGGCTCGCATACAGACAGACAGTGTGGTGGCAATGCTGAAAGCCTTATACCCTGGCCTGCAGTTTGAAATCAGTAAGTTTCCTGGAGATGTATGGAAGTTAATGGGAAGCCAGTATTAGTGGAGGGGAAAGCACAGGGTTCCTGGCTTTGCTTATCACCAAAGACTGGCCCCTGTCTCCAAGAACCCCTCTTGGCTTCTCCCAGTTGGAGGGCTGGCTCTCCTCTGAACATCTCTAGCTCTGACTGTCTGGGTTAATTTGGCATTTAATATCTTCTGCCTTGGATTTTTTTGCGAGTGGGTCTGTCTTCCTGTTAGATGGTGGGGAAGGAGCTTATGTGGCTCTGTTCCACCTTAATTTTAGTACAGTACTGGGCACAGTAGGGGCTCAATAAATGCTGATTAATGATGTGATTGGTTGATTTTCTTCTCAGTTGCTATGTCCACCACAGGGGACAAGATTCTTGATACTGCACTCTCTAAGGTAACAACAACTTCCCTTCATTCCTTATACCCCTTCATTCTTCCTTGCCCTAAAAGATTCACTCTGAAGCTCTCTCTTGCCTGGCAGATTGGAGAGAAGAGCCTGTTTACCAAGGAGCTAGAGTATGCCCTGGAGAAGAATGAGTAAGTGGAGACAGGACAGCATGGCACAATCTCTTGCTGGGATCCCAGTATGCTACAGATCTAGCAATCAGTAAAGCTGTTAGTGTGGACCAGATAAAATAGGGGACTCATATGTGGGGTTCAGGCTCTGAAAAGGAGAGTGACCTGGTTTGGAGCCATCTGGCTGCTTGGAATGTAAGAGTGATTGGGAAAATGGGGTAGAAGGTAAGTGGGGAGGAGAGCAGATCAAAGGTCCCAAGGCCTGGGGAAGGCCTGCTTCCTGAACTACCTTGGCTCCACTACTGAAGCTGAGGCAGGAGCCAACTGCTTCAGCCCCTTCTCCTCTCCCTGCCTCCAATCTCTCTAGAGTTGATCTGGTCGTTCACTCCCTGAAGGACCTGCCCACCGTGCTGCCTCCTGCCTTCACCATTGGAGCCATCTGCAAGTAAGAGTCCTGGAAGCAAGGGCCCTGAGCAGGGGGTAGACCTCACAGGAGACTTTGCTTTTCCCTCGAGACTTTGCTTTTCCCTCTGGGACTTGGTCCTCTGCTTTGAGTGTGGCAGAAAACTCAGAATATGCCAGTTAGTTAGCTACTGAGAGAATGGAAATGACTCAAATTGAAATTTCTCCTTCATTCCATGACCTTCCTTCCTCCTCCAGGCGGGAAAACCCCTGTGATGCTGTTGTCTTTCACCCAAAATTTGTTGGGAAGACCCTAGAAACCTTGCCAGAAAAGAGGTGAATGGGGCCTGGATGGTCATCCTGGTGGGAGGAGCAGGAAAGGAACAGTGGCTGCCTAGTGTTAAATTTTAAATCCTCTTTCTGAACAGCACTGTGGGAACCAGCTCCCTGCGGAGAGCAGCTCAGCTGCAGAGAAAGTTTCCACATCTGGAGTTCAAGAGTATTGTATCCTTTAGAAGGAGGGGTCAAGATTTTTGATACTTGAGGAAGAAGACAAGACCTAGATGACCCTGGAAGTCCTGAGAGTGGAAGGGGCTTCTGGTGCAGGTGGCCCATAGGGGCAGCAGGCTGACTGTCTTTCCATCCACCCATTCACCCATCCTTCCATGTATCCATCCATCCATCTGCAATCCTTTAATGTTTTCTTAGCCCAACGTAGATGCCTCACATTGGGGATAATGATGAGTAATATAAACTCTGTCCTTACTTATGTAGAATGAAAAGTTTATATTTTAGTTAGGTCTATAGATAGGCATTGATGATACAAAGTGATAGTGAATAGTGATTGTTTCTGGGGACATAGAGATACTTCCATTTTTACTTTATATATGCTACTATATTATTTTGATTTTTTTTTTTTACTATGCAGTGGGTTTTGTTTGTTTGTTTGTTTTGTATTAGAGATTGAACCCAGGGGTACTTAAGTACTTACCCACTGAACAACATCCCCAGCCTTTTTTTGGGAGGGTACCAGGGATTGAACTCAGGGACACTCAACCATTGAGCCACATCCCCAGCCTTATTTTGTATTTTACTTAGAGACAGGGTCTCACTGAGTTGCTTAGCAACTCCCTTTTACTGAGGCCAGCTTTGAATTTGAGATCCTGCTGCCTCAGTCTCCCCAGCCTCTGGGATTACAGGAGTGCATGACTCTACCCAACATTCTCAGCTCTTTTTATTTTTTGAGACATGGTCTCACTAAGTTACTAAGACTGTTCTCAATCTTGGAATCCTCTTCTCTCAGCCTCCCAATTTGTTGGGATTACAGGTGTGTACCACCATGCCTGATGAATATATAGTTTTATTTTATTTTTATTTTTAGAGAGAGAGAGTGTGAGAGAGAGAGAGATAATTTTTTAATATTTATTTTTTTTTTAGTTTTCGGCGGACACAACATCTTTGTTGGTATGTGGTGCTGAGAATTGAACCCGGGCCACGCGCATGCCAGGCGAGCGCGCTACCGCCTGAGCCACATCCCCAGCCCCGAATATATAGTTTTATAAAACTAATTTTAAAAATGGTATATGCTAAGTGCTTAATGGGTAAAAATGGGGATTCTCTGGAAGCATTTAGCTGGAACATCTAAACAGAGACTTAGGGATCATGGAATGTTTCTCTGGAGTCTTGTAACCTTGGGCAAGTTATTTAACTTTTCTGTATCATTGTCCTCATCTGTATAGTACTGCACATCTACTGCACAGGGCTGGCATGAAAATGAAATGAGCTGATATGGGAAACCACTTTAGAACAGCATGGTGTTGTAAATGGTAGCTGTTGTCATGAAGCTGAGAGCTAAAAGATGGGTAGATGGAGAAGAAAAGAAACTCCAAATAGCATGTGGCTTCTGTTAGTCCTTAGCATCTCTCTGCAGCGGGGAAACCTCAACACCCGGCTTCGGAAGCTGGATGAGCAGCATGAATTCAGTGCCATCATCCTGGCTGTGGCTGGCCTGCAGCGCATGGGCTGGCAGAACCGGGTGGGCCAGGTAGGGGCTTCCAATTTCTCCTCCCTGAGTTCATCTGTTTCTCCTTCCTTCCTGTACCATCTCCTCCTCCTCCTCCTTTTTTTTTTTTTTTTTTTTTGTACTAGAGATTTAACCCAGGGCACTTTACAACTGAGCTACATTCTCTTCTCGGCCCTGTTTATTTATATTTATTTATTTACCTATTTATTTATTTTGAGACCAGATCTCACTGAGTTTCTTAGGGCCTCACTAAGTTGCTGAGGCTGGCCTTGAACTTGCACTCCTCCTGTCTCGGCCTCCGGGCTGCTGGGATTACAGGTGTGTACTGCACTGCCATGCCTGGCTGTACCACCACCTCCTCCTTTTTTTTTTCTTTGTCACTGTAGATGGGCAGTATGCCTTTATTTGTTTCATTTTATATGGTGCTAAGGATTGAACCCAGTGCCTCATAAATGCTAGGTGAGTGCTCAGCTACAGCTTCAGCCTCACCTGACCTCTAATGCTGCAAATAGATTCCTAGGATGGGGAGATTGGAAAACAAAGTCCGGACTCCTGCTTGTGCCTCCTCAGGCTTTCTAGATGTTAATCGAAGTACATCTCATTGCTGGATGCTTTTGGGCACCCCTGACCTCTCCTCACCCTTCTACCTGTTCTACTTCCACAGATCCTACATCCAGAGGAATGCATGTATGCTGTAGGCCAGGTAAGCTTGAGAAGCCACTTGTTAATTTGCTCCCTTCCCTTTGTTCTCAATAAGGAATCTGGTCTCACAACCTACAATATCTGCATTCCTCAAAATAAAATTCTCAGGGAGGGGGCCTTGGGATGCTACTGGCCCCAAAGACCCTGGGGAACAGGCAGAAGGGTGGTTCCCATCCTTAGCTGCATTAGTTGAGCGAAGATCAAGCTTGATGTGTTTTCATCAGGGGGCCCTGGCTGTGGAAGTCCGAGCCAAGGACCAGGACATCTTGGATCTAGTGGGTGTATTACATGATCCTGAGACTCTGCTTCGCTGCATTGCTGAAAGGGCTTTTCTGAGGCACCTGGTAGGACCTGTGCTTGTCCTGGAGGAGGGGGGTGGGCAGCCAGGATGTGCTGTGTATGTAGTGATCACTCATTCTTGAATGTTGTGAATGTGGAGGATGCAGGTCTTGGCCCAGCAGCCTTTTCAGTTATGTCCTCTGTATCTCTGAGGGCTGTGGTCAAAGCATAGGAACTTTTCATTGCAGGAAGGAGGCTGCAGTGTGCCAGTAGCAGTGCATACAGTGATAAAAGATGGGCAAGTAAGTAGGGGAAAATGGGTGGGAACACAGGGAAGGACTACGGCATTTCTCCCTATGCAGCCTAGGTTTCTAAGCAGTTCCCTCTCAGAATGTGCTGAAGCAACCATTTTCTTTCCCAGCTGTACTTGACTGGAGGAGTCTGGAGTCTAGATGGCTCAGATAGCATGCAAGAGACAATGCAGGCTACCATCCATGTCCCCACCCAGGTACCAAGGATGGAGGGTGAGGAGGGAGTAATAAATAATAGTGCATGTAATCTTGTCATTCTCACCAAATCTCACCTCCTTCCTTCATCCAGTATGATGGCCCAGAGGATGATCCACAACTGGTAGGCATCACTGCCCTGAACATTCCGAGAGGAGCCCAGCTGGCTGCTGAGAACTTGGGCATCAGCCTGGCCAGCTTGTTGCTGAACAAAGGAGCCAAGAACATCCTGGATGTTGCACGGCAGCTTAATGATGTCCACTAAATGGCCTGTGGGGTTCAAGTGTTTGAATTGCCACTTTCCAGTGCCTATGTCTAGCCTTCAGGACCCCTGTGATCAATGGGGAGTGATTACCCCAGACTGAACTGCAGGGTCTGAGACTTCCAAGGACTTGCCTCACCTTGGGGCATTGATGACTGCGCCTTGCCTTCTTTAAATGGGCGTCATCTCTTTTTAGACATCCAAGCTAGTCTTTGAATGTAACCAACTCTAATAAACCAGCTCTGAAAAATGGTTGTTTTGGTGGGACTGGGGAAAAAAGATAAAGCCCCTCCACCACCAATACCCTCCCCCCCTTTTTTTTTTAAACTAGGAATGGAACCCAGAGGCACTTTACCACTGAGCTATATCCTTAGCTCTTTTTGAGACAGGGTCTCACTAAACTTAGTGCCTTGCTAAATTAAATTGCTGAGGATGGTCTCAAACTTGTGATCCTCCTGTGTCAGCCTCCCGAGTTGTTGGGATTAAGGGCATTAGTCACCATGCCTGGCAAAACTCTTAAACCTTACTTGAGTCTAAGACCTTTGCTCAATCAATGTTCTCCTAGAACTTTTTTTTTTTTTTTTTTGGGGGGGGGGGGGGGTTGAGCTACATCCCCAACCCTATTTTTATTTTATTAAGACAGGGTCTCACTGAGTTGCTTAGCACCTTCCTTTTGCTGAGGCCAGCTTTGAACTTGGGATCCTCCAGTCTCAGCCTCTGGAGCTGCTGGAGCTGCTGGCGCTGCTGGAATTAGTTATGGCAAGGCTCCCAGCTCTTCAATGTTTATACCTTGACAGTAATTTCAAACAAGTCCATTGTCTCACAGGGAGCTCCAAGAAAGCAAGAGAATTGCTTTAAAATCTATGGCTTAGAGCCTAGAGTGTAGTTCAATGGTAGAGCACTTGCACAGCACAGAGGCCTCTGGCACTGTCAAAAATAGAAAACAACCCCAAATCCTAGTTTGTCCCTTTTCCAGTTAACAGTACAGCATATTTAATATTAGTCTCTTCCACCCTACTACTTCAGGAAAGAAAGCATACGTGTTATTAACCCTACAACTCTTGTAAAATGAAAACAGACACTCTTTTTTTTAAAAAAAAGAATCCTTTAATAAACAAAATTAGACCATCTGAAACTCCCCAATACTTAAGGTTCTAGTTGTGGATGGGTTAGCTGCAAAATTCCAGTTCAGAAGCCAAGAGAGGCTCAGTCCACAGATTAACTGACATGTGCTGGTATCTAGGTGCTTGGATTGCCGAGTTTAGTGGCTGGACGGGAAATGGGGTTGATAAGCCCGACAGGCCCAGTTTTCAGTCTCTTTCGCACAAACAACTCTATTGCTATCCACACAACCAGCTCTATGTCCAAACTGGAGCAAACTTCTTCCTAGGAGTCATCTCAGGAGGAAAGATTTGTCCTGGCCACACCACGTAGGCCTATGAATGAAGACGGAGATGACTGAAAATCCTGGGACTTGGCATAAAGGGGCACCAAACCAAAACAAGTGATCGATTTATCTCAAAGCTTGGAAATCAACAGTCAACGTCTGAGAGTCCTGGCAAGAGCTAAGCACCACGCTGAAGAAATGATACATCCAGGCTGCAGCAACTGAGGAACTCACCTTGAGGGCTGCCGGCTTCTTGGCCTTGGCTGCCCACCTCTGCCCTACGTCAACGCAGAAAGCAAGTCTTCCAGAAGGTGCTGTGGCCTTACCGCAGCCCACCAGCCATTCTGAGGATGGGGGGGCGGCTGAGTCACCCGCACCAAGGAGGGCAGGTGCTGCGCCCCTAGCCCAAGGGCCCGGAACGAGCCCGAGAAGGACGCCAGCCCGCCCCTCCTCCCGGTAGCCAGGACAAGGACCGAGGCCCTCTAGCGCCGCGGCAGGCCGTGCGGGCGCGGGGGAGGGGAGGGTGGGAGGCGGCGGGGACGCGAGGGGAGGGGGCCGGGCGCCGGGGTTCGCACGCCTAGCTGCCCAACGTGGCTCAGCTCTTTCCGTGAGGGCGGTGGTGGCCCTTAAAAGGGCCTTTGTGATAGCATAGGGAGGGCTGGGCAGCCGGCCGCAGCGCGGGCACCCCTCAGTATTCCTGAGAGGCCTGGGTGGCCTTCTTGCCGCCCGCCGGCGCCTTCGGCCCCACGGTGGCGCTGGTCTTCTTGGGCAGCAGCACGGCCTGGATGTTGGGCAGGACGCCCCCTTGAGCGATCGTCACGCCGCCCAGAAGCTTGTTGAGCTCCTCGTCGTTGCGGATGGCCAGCTGCAGGTGGCGGGGGATGATACGCGTCTTCTTGTTGTCGCGGGCCGCGTTGCCCGCCAGCTCCAGAATCTCAGCGGTGAGGTACTCGAGCACCGCCGCCAGGTAAACCGGCGCGCCGGCGCCCACTCGCTCGGCGTAATGACCCTTCCTCAGCAGCCGATGTACTCGGCCCACAGGAAACTGGAGACCCGCGCGCGAAGAGCGCGACTTGGCCTTAGCGCGGGCCTTGCCGCCAGTCTTGCCGCGGCCGGACATAATGCGCGAGGTAGAACGGTGAAGAACAGCGTCTCAGAAGACCTCTCAACTGCCGCCCGCCGCAGTCCAACTGCTGCCGCGCGCGCCGCAGGGCCGCTCTTATAAGCCCCCAGGGCACACCCCCGCGCCCTTCCGATTGGTTCTTTTCTCCAATACGCGCCTCCGGTTGGTTGGGATTAACCCTTCCGTGACGTGCCTCAGTTGGGAAAGCGCGCCCGGCGATTGGTCGAATTTGAAAACCTTTTGCCCGGGGAAAAAGACGAGGAAGAGCGATAGCACACAGCCGGCCTACCACCTCCGGCTGTGGCCAATCCATGTAAAGCGCGGGAAATTTAAACCCTATAGCCAGAGACCAAAACCGGAAGCCAAAAAGGGTAGCACCTGAATCCGTGCTGGATAGCCCCTGGGAAATCCGTGCTGGCCTATGATTTTTAAAGGAAAGGTGTCAACTCTACAACTATCCCTGCCTCCCTTCCAGTTCTGTTCACTCCTCACTCCCTCCTCTTATCTGGCAAAGGGAGTGTAAAAAAGAAAGAAAGAAGGCCTCTTGAAAGTTCCATCCTATGCCAGAACACAAATCCTTCATCTCACCTGAAGTGTGTTTCAATATTTATTCAACATGTTCTGTTTGGGCTCAGTTCTGTTTACTGCTTGCTAGAAAGTGTCAGAGATAGGCATTCTCTTGGAAGAGGTACCTCCAAACTCTCCCAATCTCTCCTAGTCTGCTGATAGAGGAAATATACCTACAAGGAACAACAAGAAAAAATCAACTCTTTATTGTCAGCAGTGAGAGCATCTGCCCCCACCTTACTAATCAGAACACTTAATTTAAAGTATCAATGTCTGTGTAGTGGCCCTTCCTCAGCAGCCAATATAGTCAGCTAGGGAACTGAAGACCGACTGGTATTCTATCTGGAAGCCCAGCATATTCCTTGAGTCAGGACTCTGAATATTAAATTATAAGTATCTGCATTATAGTTGCTGCATCCCACCTTAGGAGGCTGCAAAGATCAGATGGAAAGGGAAAGTGGCAAGATGAAGAAAACCATAGCCAAAGTCCAATTAATATCATTGGAAGGCTAGAAAGGCCCAGAAAGTCGATAATAACTGGTGAAGGAAAATGCAACAACAAAATCTGGAGTATAGTGAACAGTGGGAGAGGCCTGGGCCTGGAGGCAGTCTTGGACACAAGATTGGCCCAGGTTAGGACCCTGGAGACCGTGCCATAGTAAAGGGCAATCTTCAGGGAACTCAAACATCATAGAAGAGTCGGACAAGCTGGTATCGAATGGAGAAAGTGATAGCACTGCCCAGGATCTGCAAGGAGAAATGGACTGGAATAAGAACCACGGAGAACAGGAGACAAAGAGGTATAAACTCCACCCTCAATCTCACCTGCAGCAGTAGCAGGAGCAATGTGAGGTTTCTCTCATGTATGGGCCCAAAGATTTTAAGTAGCAAGTTGATGAGAGTCATGTTGTTACACTCAGTAAAGGCACCATCCTCATTCTCACTCTGGCGCACTGTGACTAGCCTGAGGCTTTCTGCTACCTGGAGGGACCAGAGGTGAAGAGAAGTTCAGCTAATACCTACGTTTCAGGAATGGGGATCTACTAAATACTGCCAGCCTCCCCTTGGATCTGATGTAGACCTAGGATCCCCATTTCCTGAGTTCAGAATGGTGGCCTGGGGCCTTACCTCCTTGTTACCTTGTTACCTTTAAAATAAAGGTGCCCAAGAAAGAAAGGCTCTTGGTCTTGAACTTGGAATAGCTCATCTCCAGTTTGCCTGTTTTGGTATTGAGTCTGCAGGAGGGAAGACAGATTCATGTGATCGGCCCTCTAGTCAAAGACCTCTCTCCTCCCTGTAGTTAATTACTAGGAAGAGCACTGAATGTGGAATCAAACAACTTGAGATCTATTTCTGGATCTGCTGTATGATCAGAACTGCAATGAACTTTACATGAAATGATGTAAGTAAATATGCTTTGTAAATTATAAATGGCTACCTACAAGGGAAGAGTTAGCTCTTCCTTGGAGCCTACAAAGCAAATAAAAAAAAAGGCTGGCTTTAGATATCCCAAGTGAAAGGCTATGATGCCCCAAAGTGGCTACCTGGGTATACGGTGACGAGGGCAGGGGATGATATGCAGGAGCTGAGGCAGTGAATAGAGGAAGTTGAACACCTGTGGCATGAAGAAGAGTAGCATGGTCTTGCTGAAGTGTCCCAAGATGCCCACCACGGCAAAGGTCATGCCAGCAAAGTAGCAGAAGGTATCTCCCACAAATACTCGCGATGGATACCTGTGTAGGAAAGAACATCTGAACCAGTGGCAAGAGACATTACCAATACTCTCTCCCACATCACACACTCTCAGCAGTGAGCTCACCCTGACCCTAGTTTTGAGAGGAGGCTATAGTTGTCACAGCCACTCTGCAGGACCCAAGGCCCTGAATTCATCTATTCCTGGGGGCTCCATAGCATACATCCCCAACTTTTACTCAGCAGAGAATAATTTCAGAATACTTTCAGGCTGTGTAGCTCAGTAGTAGAGTACTTGACTGGCATGTGCCAAAGCCACGGCTTTTCTAGCAACACGGGGAAAAGTGACAGAATGCTACTATCTGAAGACCCAGAAAACAGTCAATGAAGGTATGCATAGATTTAGCCTCTCCATTAAGAGCTAGATTGTTATCAGGACCATCCTTGCCAGGTGTTCAGATAGTTGTCTTCCTTATCCACCAG